TAAAGCAGTTTTCCAGAATCAGATTTTAACATTCATCAGTTTCTTACCAATTCGATAAGTTTCCTCTGATCGACCTGGTTATGTTTGATACAAAGAATTAGATAACTTACCAAACATGAAACTTATGTGCAGTTTAACTAAATTAATGACATTCACAAACCCGAATTCCGAATACCAAGTTCTAGTAAAAGGATATTTCTCTAACAGGCAGAAAATCTCAGGTGTAGTCAGGGCCGGCCCTGAGAATTTAGAGGCCCTAGACGACTAATTATTATGAGGCCCTTCAGTATAATCATTTTTTTTTCATGTTTAGCAAAATTTAAATATTTAAAAAATTAACACGTTTATATTAAAAAGAAGGCTTTATATAATTCAAAAGATAGAGTGGCAAACTAAAACTTCTCTCACAACCCGAGAGATTAGGCGAGCATAAGATTTGACCTTCTCACATTTTGAGACGTAAAATCATTAATCAAACTACTAAAATCAAGTTTTTCCAACATATTTGTTTCAATATAAATCATAGTTAATCCATTTGATCGATTTTGTGACATGGTTGATCGAATAGGGTTTTTGCTTCTATTCAAGTGGATGAATGTCGATATGCTATATTAGTTATCTGATATTCTCATGTAGTGTCTTTATGTATAACACTTAACGGGACAATTCATCCTTCAAGAATAAAATTAAGATACATGCTCCCCAAAATTTTCAAGAATCTTTTTCCTACAACAACCAGATTGAGATTCTTCACAGTATTCAACCATCTAGATGCATGATATGGCTCACATCAAAATGGAATCAATGGAAAATGGAGTAAAGGCCCATCATTATGAAAAAGCAAGAAATTTACCCGGTGGAAATCAGCCAGGGACTTCTTGGAGGGCCCCTCTTGCAAACTTGAGGACTGCAACTTCTTGCTCTCAGTTTTAGAATATTATTACAGGGACGGAGGAACCAATAATCTGGACACAATAAAAGTTCAAGCAAAAATTACTAAAATAAAAACTTGTAATATTCTATCCAATTTTGGGCAATCATTAATGATTAGAATTCTAAACAAACATTTTTAATAAAAATCGCCAGGACCATTCATCCTTCAAGAATAAAATACCTGCTCCCCAAAAGGCTCAAGAATCTGGTGAGAGACTGTTGGAGAAATCGAGAAGAAGATGTTAAGAAATTTAAGGGGTTTTGGATTGGGGCATCTTTGGGCTTTTTTTAGAGGCCCTTAAAATTTTGAGGCCCAAGGCAGTGGCCTTACTTGCCTTGGGCCAGGGCCGGCCCTGGGTGTAGTTTCAAGAAAATAGTGAAAGACTATTTGTTGACTAGCTATAGTCATTTCTATATTGCATTTGTATCACTTGTGATTCTAATAACATACATGTACAATAAGAACTACAGTTGTTTGTAGAAGAGAACATACGCTTGGTCGTGCAGCACCTTACTTTCACGAATAGATGTAACAGACGAATCATTATAATGCAGCCACTTGCCACTTGGATGGCGTGCATCCGCAGTGTAGTGTCCCTTCCGTGATGGGTGATTGTCGCAACAAGTTCATATCTTCTACCCTGAATCAATTTAATTATGCAAAAGAATATTAGGAGGAACATTTATGACTTGTTCATACCTTCTAACCTCTTACAGAAACTATTAATCAACTAAGATCATTAGGTATTTGATTAACCATACTCAACTTTAACTAATTGAAAATCAGTACTCAGTAATTAATCTTTCACACTACTTTGATGGAGAATTATGGAATTTCTATAAGATCATATAATAATCATTTCTTGATCTTTCACAAGTTGAAACACAACCTCAAACCCAATTATTATGTGCTGATACCAGCTTCATGCAAATACTGTAATGAAGATTGCCTTCAGAGTAGCGACTATGGATATGGGACTTTCTGAATCTGTCCATGACTTAAATTCCATATGCTGACAGTAACTTTATACTTGAAAAAAAAAAGGTTTTCTTTTTTCGCAAAAAGTAGGAGAACAACCACCAAATTAATGACGAGCAAATCACTTGACAAGATAAAAAAGCCTATACCAATAAATATAGTTGTAGCAGAGTAAAATCACCTCACTCCTACCTCTCTGTTCGTTAAGTGCTGGTTCTTATTCGAGGTTGTGGAAATGCACAGGTTTGTGCAATTTGGTACTACCCTGGCTTCCATAGCTAAAACGCATCAAGTGCAAAACCATTATATCAGAGAGGTCCAGAATCTTAACAGACTTGCTAGCAGCAACCACCTCTGCCTAAGATCATTCAGACATAAATCATCTGGTTGCATAATGCATTCATTATATATTATTTCTTCTCGTAAAATGGAAAATAAATAAGAATCTCCTTCACACCATAAGCATTGTCATTGCACTTATGCAGGTCCTTACATCCATCAATAACATGACTAATCCATCAATAATGACTTCACATTTTCCAACGTCCTGACTAAAATAAAATTTAGTCCAAAACACTTATAAGATTTGAAAAAACGAATTGCAGAAACCCCGTCTTACATATCTAAGCAAACTTAAATGATTTTGAAATAGAAAATAAAAGCACCTTTCCAGTTGCTGATGTTCGGTACCCTTCCAGTGTTTCTGGAGCAGAAAACAATCGAAATGCATCTTCTATTGTACAGATAGGCTCAGGAAAAATATTAAGGTGGAGCAAAAGAAATGGCTGTACAGTTGCTGAGGCTTTGCTACCTTCTTAAATACAGTAAGGGAAATCATGATACGGTATATGCACAATGACACACGACTACATCTAGCAAGATTANGGGGGGGGGGGGGGGGGGGGGGGTGTAGATGGGAGCCTTATCTGCCTTTCCTAAGAATTTGAATATTCATAAATAGGGATGGCATCCAAGATAACTCTAAAAAGTAAAGATGGTTCCCCTAAAATATAGCGTATCTGTCTATATAACCTCAAACTGAATTTGCCAACAAGACATATTTTCAGTCTTTGCACTCTCCAAAGTAATCTTTTTTCGTTTATACTTTCGTTTCAAGGAAGCCAAATTGATATAGCTTGAACATGTTGTAAGAATTATCAAAACAAAAACATTGAGAAGAACTCAAGAAAGATAAATTTTCAGAGCAATTCTCTACTAGATTATACAGAAAATGTAAGATTGGAATTCCAGGAAGATGTTTCCAGCTAGATTTTGTCAAAATAGAAAACCAACTCTAAAGAACAAAGTCTATGTGAAGGCATTAAAATCAACAACAGGTGGATTATTGGGAGATGATTATTGAGAGGATGCATGTAGCAAAATTAAAAAATTGTATGCTGACAAGTCCAAACCTTGACTCACCTCTTGCCTTCACAACACTTCTCAATTGACCTCCAAATATTTCACTTAATTTTGAAGGGATGAAAGTTTGCGTTCTTGTGATTGCAGTTTTGTTCCCTTGGCCAACCGTCTCCCAGTAATCATTTTCACCCTCATCAGTAGAAGAAAGTAATGTGGTTGCTTTTCCTTTTCCATTTGGAACTTGACCGTCAAGTTTTAGCAATTCATCATGCATCTGATGCATTACAAAACTTAGGAACTCCTGAGCATCTTCTTGCCTGAAGGGCGTGCAAAGTCCCCGAGAATTAAAAGCACAGCGAAGGTAAATAACTACAATTGCACATTTGATGCATTTCTATAAAATTACTTCCATTAAGTGGAAAAAAAAGTTATAGAAAAGATAATGACTTAAACGAGCAATAAAGATTTATACAAAAGTTGAGGAACTAGAAACATTGTTTAAATTTCAAACCAAGAGATAAATAACAGAATGGGCAAAAAACATAAAATGAGCTATTTCACATAATTAATTTTGTGTGAGTTGCACATATGCACACATGGCCCATTATTTTTCATTTTATCATTCTTGCCAAACACTACTTTAAACTTCGCAGAATTTTCACCAGCATCCTGCCTTCTGTATACTTCAAGATTTGCTCCTAAGTTCCAAGAGAAGAAAGAGAAAGTCGAAGGCTAAAAGTTCTTTAAAAAAAAAAAGGAATTACACTAGAGACTGACTTTTGCTGGCTAAAATGTCATCACGTTCTATGAACTATGGATCAGGTCAGCTGATCCTACTTTTTCAAAGTATCCTGTCAGTCTCCACCTCTAATTAGCCTTCAATCCTCACTATTAAATAAAATATTTTTGTTAGAGAAAAAAATAATTTCCCCATAGATAAATTAGTTGAAGAATTATAATGCTTTTACAACCAATGCATCTGAAGCGGATTTAGTAGGTCTATAGCTTCAGTTTTTTCAAAATTAGAAATAAGTTTATAGAATATTTCATATTGAAAAGATTTATTATGATGGATTTGACAAGTTTGTTTATGCCATTAGTTTGGGAAGTTTTGAAAATTCAGTGAAGGTGCCAATAAATTATAATTACTTTTAGGTTCTTCAAGGCAAACAAGTCTCATAATTGCAAAAGAGAATAGTTTACTGGTAATTTCAAAAGTTGGCATGACAGGTTGGATATTTGAAAAAATAGGGAAAAGGGAAGTCGTTTCCTCTCTTAAATAAGTTTACTGCCATTCTAGGCCAGGAAAAAAAGGTCAAACTGTGCAACTGTGAATAAATAGCAACAAAGAACAGGGCCAAAAGAAATAGAGGCTGCATGTATGAACCTTGGCCTGCCCGACAAGTTATCTGGAACATCTGGAGAGAAACTTCTCAGAATGGATTCAAACACGACAGGTCGAAAAGGCTGCCCAGTCTCCAGGATAGTTTTCTCATTCCTCTTGGAGCTTGAATCATTGTGCATGTCAAAGTGAGAGATAAATTCAACAAATGCACATAATGTTGGATATCCAATCTAAAATGGGGAAAACACGCAACATTCATGAGTTGACCTAGTCGATACTTAATTTTTGCAACATGTAAATTAGATGTTGAAACTATAAAAGATCATCATAAAGTTATCCACTACCTCTGGTATATTATGATTTCTTAGATTGTGTAAAAGTTCAAAGAATGGAGAACAAGAGAGAAGGGCAGGGACGGTTGCATTGAGAAAGCATAGATTTCCCTAAGTTGATTAAACCTCGAGGTAGAAATTTTTTAGCAATTGAATATGGCCCATTTGATGCCTGGGCAATACTTTTGTTGGAATCCACTATGTCAAAACCTTCTGTCGAATCATCCAAAACTCCATCGTCCAAGGAGGAGGACAATTCAGTAACTCTCTCACAGCTGGGCTGCTGTATACTTCGCTGGTTTGACAAACCCCAAGAATTGTCAGAATTTAAACACACAGGCTTCAGCTCTTTTGAGATATTACCCTCAACCGGACATGTATCATTGGAGCACACATTTTTCTGCACAAAAGGGACTTCCAAGTGTGACGTGTTTTCAGCATTTCTAGGAGTTCTAACAGTATTTTCTATGTTCTAACAGCATTTTCTACTCTAGCTGGCTTCAACAACTCATATCCTTTAGGGGAATAAATCTCTTTCAGACTAGTATTTGAAATGCCCACGGATCTTAAAGTTGCTGTATCCAAAGAACCAAATGTGATTTCTGTATTATCCTGTGACGGCTCACACTGCAAGAATCTTAATTCCTCTTCTGTAAATGATCCAAAAACGAACACCTGCTGATAAAAACAATAAACCACAGAAATGATTAAACAAGCCAAGCATAAAATTCATCTCTTATGAACTGTTACAATTAGTAAATGAAAATAGATTCACATCCAGAATACTGCCTCTGCCCATAGTTCCATTTTCAACAAATGCAAGATGCAGTATGGCTAACTGAATAAGAACCCAAAAAGATATGCCACTTAATGTAAAATGCAATAAACTGCCAGTATCTTGGGCCCCTTTGTAGGGCATTTTGAACATGCTTTGTGTAATAACTTCAGATATTAGTGAGTGAGTGAATGAATAAAATAGTTATCTTAAGTTAGCCCTGTTTGAGCCACATTATCATTCTTCTACTCATTTTAAACCACACATTCTTCAATAAAATAATATTTTTCATCACATCAATAACTTTTCATTCTTTTTCAACCACATATTTACCATCAAATCACAAAAAAATGCATTCTTTTCATTTATTATCTTAAGTTAGCCCTGTTTGAGCCACATTATCATTCTTCTACTCATTTTCAACCACACATTCTTCAATAAAATAATATTTTTCATCACATCAATAACTTTTCATTCTTTTTCAACCACATATTTACCATCAAATCACAAAAAAATGCATTCTTTTCATTTTAATGTGCATCAAACACACTCTTAATAAAATCTGAACAGTTGAAAATACATATCCTTCTACAGTTGAAATTTATTTTTTCAAAGAATAAGATCTCAATAATAAAGCAGCTAAAGAGATTAGAGATACAAGCATTTAGCATACCATGCAAAATAATTATCCATTCAATGGGTAACAATCTCAAAACAAGCCCTATTATTAGCAAAATAAACAGAAACGACAATCTTCTAATATGTCCACGGTCAATGCAGTATGAGAACTGCACTGCATATTAGCATTCCCTCTTCAATACCTGACGAGTTTCTTACATTATTCAGCCTTTCTTAACTTATGCAGTAAACCAGTAACCACAGTCTTGCTATACCAAGTTACTTACATTATTCAGGCTTTCTTTAACTTATACAGTAAACATGTAACTATAGTCTTGCCTGCATAGCAAACTCACCCAAAATCGAGCTCAGCAAATCAAAATTCATTATTCCCATCTCAATTCTAGCTTTAGGGGCTTATGTTTAAGACCAGTTGAACCTTCAACCAACCAATCCTAACACATCCCTTCTAGTGATACAATTTTTTGACTTTTTATCTTTTAGCTCTGTTTGTTCTCATCACACTCCGGCGAAGACCACAAATGTCAATCTCTAGTTTCATTCAAAGTGAACAAAATTTATGGGATAATCCCAACATTTTCCTTGTATTCAGAATTTTTATTTAGCTACAATGGACAGAAAAAAAATCATTTTTTCTATTAATTTGAATTTCTTTTCCAGCTTTTCATTTTCTGAATAAGTGAAAATAAACTTAATTCACTACCGAAAATCCTAGCAACAAATCGTCTCAATAGCAGCTCGAAAATCCACAAAAAATGGACCTTAAAACCTCCTACAATGCAATCAAAGTATTAACTCCCAAGCAACAATTTTTCACAAAATTTTAATTTCAACACTTTTCTCCAAACCCCCAAAAGCAGACAAATACAACACAAAACAAATTTTTTGAAAAAAATAAATTACGGACCCGATGATCTGTCATTTTGAAAATGGGAATGGCCTCAGGAATGAACTGGAGAATGAGCCATTGGGTACAAACAAATGCCGTCTGCAGGAAACGATGTCGTACAAGTAGAACGGAACGACGTCTGAAGACATGAAAATTGGAAACTGAGTAGAGAGAATCAGAAAAGGATATTTTGAGAAAGATATGGGGGCAGAAGAAAAAGGAAATATACTTAATGGACTGGAAATACTATTTAAGGAAAATGGGGACCAAAAATTCAAATTATATTCGAGTAAATTGTTTCAATAATTACTCAAATTCATCATGGTCACGATTTACTCACTGAACTTTAAAATGCTTCACAGTGCTCACTGAACTTTGTCTATTTGCATTCCGTCCATCACCCTAAAAAATTCATTACCTTATTCGTTAATGTGGCTAACGAAAATCTAACGTGACAAATTACAATCGTTAAAAAATGACAACTCAGTCAAATCATTGTTTCATTACTCATCCAACTTATATTTGGTCACAGTTTACTCATCGAACTTCAAAATACTTCACAATAGTCACTTATTTTTGAGATGTTGCACTCCATTCATCATCCGTCATATTTTGTTCCCTTCATTTCTAATGTTCGCACAAAAATTCCACGTTATACGTTATACATGTTAAAAAATTTGCAACTTAACAAAACTTAACTCACCAAAATCACCATATGTGAAACGTGACTTCCACGGCCCCCATCAACATATTTAAAATCCAATAAAACGTCCCAAATAATTTTTTTAGAAATATCATTTTTCTAATTCAAACATTTATTGTGCAAAAAATAGGTTTTAATTTGAACGTAAAACTCTGAAGCATAAGTTGTTTGGTGGGGAAGAATGTCCCGACCCATACCCGCCATGTTGCCATCCCTATGTGAAACTCGTAGAAATACTAGGAAATTCATAGTTAAGCATAATATTAATCTAGCACAATGTCACAGCCAACTTCAGTTACAAATTTCGACTCGAAATACCGTTATTACGACTCTTTTTCCTCCGACCCTCGTGCCAATAGTGCATTGTACTCATCTCTAAGATTGTTGTATTTGTCACACAAATTGTCAAATGGCTTTGTTTCCTCTGTCAGCTTCTTCTCTAATAGAGTCTTCAGTTCTTCTTTCTGTTTTTTAAGCCCCTCAATCTTGGATATTTTCTCCTCATGTAGTTTCTGCAGTTTTGCCAATTCAGACACTGGTTTGTTTGATTCTGCAATGAAACAGCTTAATAGTAAACATCAATGACTAGAATTAAAAGAATGGAAATGTCAACACCCCCCGGAAAAACGATTAATCTCTATCAATAGACTTGCTAAATTCCCGTATCTACAACAAGGTAACGTGTGAAAAGCACGAGCCAAGAGAAGAAGGCACGTGAAGTAGTACCGGTGGAACTGCTGTCCTCCATCTGGAAATTCTTTATCTTCTTCATCTTCACTATAAACTATGTCAATCATCCTTAATATAAAGCTGTAGATTTATTGAACAGTCTGGTTTGCAGCAGCCTGATCTTCCTTCAATGGAAATAAAATCTATAATGTATAATTCAGTACAAAAAATTGCACAGCCAATTATAGGTAAATTTACAAGTCTTTAGATTCTCCACAGTACTATAGGATTTAGGGTTGTGAATTTGTACAGTTCTATATATGGAATCTTCATGTGGCTTGAAATGGTGCGCGGAAAACACGGGTACTTTTTCGTTCGTTTTCTACATGAGATTAGGACACGAGGAGGGTCGTTCCGATTGGTTTGGATGGTGAAGTTTGTACCGTGTATGATGCACGTACATGTTTTGAAACTTGGATCATGAGAACAAGTTTTATGAGAAAAAAGTTCAGTGGATATGTTCATAAAGTTGAGACTCGCCCTCTTTGTTGTCCAATATTGTAACATCTAATGTTACGTATTAAACATGCTCAAAGCTGACAACTTTTTGAACTTATTGCCGATTTTCTTGTATGCAGCATGTCGCAAATTACTTCAAATTTAGTTTTTGAATGCTTAGTCAATGCTCAGACGTTTCATATATCAGGTTAGACAGAGCATGACAGAATTACATAAGAAAAAGAGTTGATTGATAGTCTAATTATAATAAGCCCAAGCAACGACTTAGAATATTATTTTATTGAATAATGTGTAGTTGAAAATGAGTTTTGAGAAAAATTATTTTCGATTTAATGAAGCACAAGCAAGGGCTTAGAAGTGTTGAAATGGATGAGCCCATCAAAAGCCTGAGACAGGCCTGGACTGGATTGGGTCATGGTTGGCCCACCTATGTAGGCCAGCCATGCCAGGATTAAAATTGAGAAAATTACCTCAAACCCTACTTTTCAAAATTCATATTCGAAAATGAGGTGATAAGTTTAATTTTTCAAAAATCAGGTGTTTTATATATTATTAATTCAATTAATTAAGAAATCAAGCCGACGTCTCTACCTCTCCCCCAAAGCTCGTTCTCTCTCTACACCACAAATGTACTCACCTCCACCACCATTGGGTTACTGCCGCCCCCTCCCTCTCGCCTCCCTCTCGGCCGCCGCCCCCTGCCCTCCCCTCCCCTAGCTGCTGGC